CACGCTCACGCTCACGCTCACGCTCACGCTCACGCTCCAAGTGCCCACGATCTCACTCTGAGCTTTGGAGCCTCTCTCATCAGGGATCCGCAGACCCGAGCAGGGAGACCAGTTCGCACAGGGTGATCTCTCCTCCAAAACCACCAGCACCACAATCTGCTTCTCAAATGACTCCAAGAGTGGCCCCCACTTCCAGAAGCCCCCCAGAGCCATCACAACGCCTTAGAAGCCCCCCACCCCCTGGCGCTGGCCCTCCCACCTGCCATTCTGTTTCAAGCCCCACAGTCCTCTAAGTAACCCCGCTCAGCCACAAGCTCTCCTCTAGCACTCCGAAAGGGCAATTCCCCCGCCTCCACCGCCCAGCCTCGCTCTCCCTCCCCTTACCCTTTCGCCCCACCGCCAGCCCGGGCATGCGGGTGGGGTGGGGATCGGGCGCGACCCCGTCTCTACAATGGAGGCCCCAGCACCTTTTGCGCATCCTCCCGCCCGACACGGCCCGGCCCGGCCCGGGGCCTGCTATTGTTGGGTGGCGGAGGCGGATCCGGGAGGAAACTCACGGCTCGGAGCTCCGCCTCATCCGTCCCCCACCTCGGCGCGACTCATCTCAGCCCAGACCCCTCCTCGTCCATACATCCTTCCTTTCCTCGGCCCATCCGTCTGAAGGTGGATTTCTAAATTTCCAGATTCAGCTGCTGTCATCTCTCGCCCTATTGAAAAAGGAGGACAGATGCCCATCCAACGCTATCCAAAGCAACAACTAGTCCCCACCTTATTAACTGGAGAAGACTAATTCTACTGAAAAAGAAAAAGAATACAATAAAGGGATTTCAACCCAGCTCCCCCACCCTCAACAACAGATTGTTTGGGCACATCGGTCAGTTCAGTTTAGCAGGTACTTTCTGGGGGGAATGAAGAGAAACTTACAGATCCAAGAGCCATTCCAAGACTCAGATTGTGGAGACAGGAAAGCTTTTCCAATTCATTATTTGCAGGGGAACTGCATACATATCTCCTGGAGTACTATCTCTGAAGATACTTTGCCCCAAAATGGTGTTTTGGACCTAACAATGTGGACACTTCCTACTGCACAGTTTCCAATGGGCACTAACATACGTGGGGCAGCGCCACTGTTATTTTTGGGGTTTATATCCTGGTGATGTTTGTAAATTCAGACTGCATCTGTAGCTCCAAACTGGAGGGGAGCGGAGAGAATTACAAACCAGCTCCAGCTTTCTAGAGAAATTAAAAAAAAAACAAAAAAAACACCAATCCCTGTCAAAACATTCTTTCAGATGAAAAAAAAAAAAACCCAGAAAACTCAATTCTCCTTCCCAATCAGTTTCCTAAGATGAGAAGTATTGCTTTTCTTTCATGTCCTTAAAAATCAATTACAAGTTGTGTGTATGCACATTTCAGTCAGTTCTAAGGGAGAGAGATTCCTGCTATGCTTTTGCCTGATTTTCCTCTTTCAGGCCAAGTTTTTAATAAATAGTAAATGTTTATATGTTTAGGCCGCACCTCAAAGAATGCTTACTGTGGAGTAAAGCCCATCTAGCTCAGGGACCACTTTCTTCTGAGTAAGCATACTTAGGACTGCACCACAGATGTGTAATTTAGATCATAATGCATCACATCAATGAAGTTGCTTCCTTTTAAGGCGGGGCAGTTCATGCATAAATCTAGCAGTGAGGGACTTACCGGCCTTGCTACAGATGCTACCAGCTTGATAACAGTAAGCTAAAAAAATAGCAAGATAATTGTACTACCGGTATGAAGCACCTTTTGTGAGTGGAGTTTAAGCACACACACCTCTTCCTTCTACACTTCTAGATGAAAGCAGCCTTGTGGTACTGTGGATCAGGGATGGAAGGTGCGCCACAGTTACATATTTGGAACAAGAACCAACCATTTGCCTGACACTACTGGTTCCATCTGACCAGGATGCCAGAATTCTTGAAAACAGATGTTTCCTAAATTCTGTTTATGTTTATTAATCCAGGATAAATCAGTAGGCCCTTTGTATGGTTCTTCTAATAACTGCAGCAGAATGAGAAAACTGAAGCAAGATTCTTTTAACACCTACAGCGTTACTTTTTGAGGGTTACATTCCGTCAAACCACTACTTTCTTTAATACATCACCAAACTGAATTTTAAAAAGGACTAGATACCCCAAAATAAAAAGGAGTTAAAAAATTCTCCTTTCTGTCTCTCTAATTCTAAAAGGCACCCATCTGTTAGGACTGTTCAGCCAGGGTTGGGCAGAGGAGCAGCCACTTTCTCAGCCGTAAGCAGCGGTAGATTACATGGTGTCCATGGACAACAGTGCACTGGCAGAAAACTTACTTGCAGCTCACCACAATATTCTTTTCCTTACCAGCTTACCAGCTTTTCTGTTGAAGATTCAGATGAGTTATTTAGTGTGATGGGGTTTCTACCCTTGATTTTGGGTAGGTTATTTGTCTGTTCTTAACCACTCCTGCCAGTCAGGATGAAAGACAGGGTGGCAGCTGTCTCTAACCTCTTTTCCAGCATGGGAAAAAAATTCACATGGATTCATTGCTGCTTCTGTTGAAAGAGCCTGAAGCAGGAAAAAAGGGCTGCAGGGTCCTGCATGTGCTTGGCTAACCCAGACATGTCAGCCATGCCACAGCAGAAAGCTCCACAACCAGCCAGGGAGGGCCTCTGTCTCTGTCTGCACAAGAGGGCCTACAGCCCCATCCAGAGACCATAGGACTGAATCCTAAATGGTCTTGAGTATATAGCCTTAAACTACCATAATTGTTGTTAGACGCGAAGTCGTGTCCGACCCATCGCAACCCCATGGACAACATTCCTCCAGGCCTTCCTGTCCTCCACCATCTCCCGGAGTCCACCCAAGCTCACACCAACTGCTTCAGTGACTCCATCTAGCCACCTCATCCTCTGCCATCTATTGTTCCCAGCATTAGGCTCTTCTCCAGGGAGTCCTTCCCTCTCATTAGGTGGCCAAAGTATTTGAGTTTCATCTTCAGTATCTGGCCTTCTAAAGAGCAGTCAGGGTTGATCTCCTCTAGGACTGACCGGTTTGATCGCCTTGCAGTTCAAGGGACTCGCAGGAGTCTCCTCCAGCACCACAATTCAAAGGCCTCAATCCCTTTACACAGTATTTAAATATCCAGAAAAACATAATTCAAAGTACCAAAACCTCTATCTTGTGTAGAGAAATTTTTGCAAGAGTAGAACAGCATTGGTACTTTCATCTCAGAAGGCTTCTCATAGCTAGTTTTATGCCATCATCAGATGGCTGAAATGCAAATCAATCTTCTCTATTCTTGTTGATATTTTTATTGATTTACCAAAACACATATTTTGGTGGTATGCAGGAGTCACAGATTACTATTCTGCACTATTTTCTTGGTAGCTGGACATTACTGGGGACATTTATGCAAAGGAACCCAAACCAAGCTATGATCCTTTGCAAAAAAAATCAATTTCAGTTTTAATACATGCATAAAACTGAAACAAAGAATGAGTGATCTCTTAGAGAAGGAAAGATGGGAAACCATTATGTTAATTCTTTACTGGACCAATGCCTTGGTCAAATAGCATGCAAGTGTTCAAGCACATAACTGTTTTTCCAGTACAAACAAAAAGCAAAAGTACATTGAATTAGTAACAGCTAAATCTTAAGAAATGCATTTCATATGGCTATGTAAGTCAAAACAGCAAACACTTCATCTGCAACAAGGAGACAATACTTGACAACTTCTGCACAGTGGTTTAAACAATGGCTTAAACCACCAAGAATGTTACAGTCACATAACATGTTTAATCTCATCATGGTGGGGAGGCAGCAGTGGGGAAGGAAGGAATAGATCACGGCTGTGTATTTTAATTTCCAGACTTTTCCCCCTAACATTTTATGAAGTATATATACTCTTTTGCAGCCAAATGGTTAAGGAAGTTAGAAATTTGGCAATCATATCTAAAGAATTGTAAAACTACAGGCAATAGAAGTCTGGTTACTGGTAAATAAGGCTTGAGAAAAGAGTTGCATCTTCAAGGATTGTCTGCTTGTGCTCATTGGATGGCAATGACAGGTCATCAGATTAGCGAAAGCTCCCATTTTATTCCCATACTCATGATGATGCTATGGATTTGAGTGAGTTTGAAATGCAGAACTATACGTGCCCGTGGATTCTTTTTATATTTGTTTTTAAGTCAGGGATGGCAAGTGGTTTGGTTGGCATTATTCTAATATCAAGAATGTAGAACCGATTGTGAAGCAGGGAATACCAGCAACAGGAAGATAAAAGATATAACATGTTTGCCTTGCTACCCATGACCATCTAAAGGGGGCTCCCAGAAGACCATTCAGTCCAGCATATAAAATTACCTAGCTGCATCACATTAGGTGCACTGTATGGCCATGAAAAGCCATAAGTGGCAGGCATACACCTCTTTGTCTTTTCAATGAGGATCTGGGGGCACA